ATCCATCCATCCATCCAAGACGCGAAAGCTGGCGACTAAATATAACTTGACCGCGGCAGATAAGCAAAGGGGGCCAGTTAAAAAGCAAGTGAGGGAAACAGAGACGCTCATGTGGAAAGAGAAGATGGAAAAGAAGGGATCGCTGGGAATCTACAAGGCAAGCAAACAAGAGATCCGGAAAGAGAACTTTTATGACAACAATAAAGGTAGTGCGTTGCTCTTTGAGGCGCGGGCTGGCTGCTTGAGAACTCTAACTTGCAGGAGCAAATATTCGTCACAGGATGAGACATGTGTTGGATGTGGCATAAATAAAGAAACAATCGACCACATAGTCATGGAATGCCAAAAGATTCAGCCGGATAGAAATGGGGGGAAGGTCACACTTCCTGAGGCGCTGGGCTTCGCGGTTGATGGAAGCATTAACTGGTCAGCAGTAGGTATTACTAAGCAGCGGCTGGAGTATTGGTGGAGGAAAAGCAGAGAAGTCGATAAAATAACATCCCAGCCAAGAGTAGCGGCTGGGCAAAATTAAAAAGACATCCGAGTTGAGGGACAGAATTTAAACTCGAACTATTAAGGTAGGCTAGATGGCGCATGCCGTCACCCCGATTCAAAGGGGAGGCCCTTAATCATCATCATCATCGTCATCATAAGAAAGAGGTTATTTGATTGGTGACTAAAGTCAAGGCACGAGTGAAAACTAAACCCTTCACTGCAAAGTACGAATCCTAAACTTATTAAAAAAAATAAATCTAGTTTTTGGTTCATTAAGTATTACGGCTTGGTGGCACTAGGCACCGCCCAATCTAAAGGGTACAGCCATAACCATTCATCCATTCATTATCACGGCAGCGAGCGGTATTAGCAAGGAGGATACATAAAACTTGCTGGAGTAGAAGCCGCCTATGCGCCGTTACGGGAGAGAGTGAAGCCGCGCCGAGCGTGCGGCGGCCATGTTGCCAGTGGCAGAAAAGACCCGAGCGCTGCGAATTTATGCTTCATCGCGCTGCGGGTGCTGACTCGCGTGTTTTTAAAGCAACGAAAACAAGTAATTCTGGTTGTAAATGTTCATTGCGGCTTGTACGCAGCCAAGTGACATGCAGAGAAATCAAATAAAGTGCATATGCATCAAATAGCGATGCCCAAAGCAAACACATCATCGAAAACATAGGTGCCCTACTGGTGGTTGAAAATTATTGCTCTTGTCAAAAGTAGTCCCACCTTACTTTTGACCGACTCTCGGTTTTTTTTCCTTCGTCATGTGTTGTATCCTCACTTTTACGTATTGTTTGGCAATTTGCCTGCACAAACTGTAAACCTAATTATCAAGCGTTTCAGTCTAGGACGTGCTGCTCTAGTTTATGGAACCGGTTTTTCTCGGAGGAAGCTACTTTCAGGATGAGGTGTTTTGCTCTTGACTTCACCGTTGTGATGGATTCACATTCAGCCTGTAGCCGCCTCAGTCCTCGACTTCTTTACAGAGGCTAATGACATCTCGCGACGGTGAAACAAGACCACCTCGCCTCTTACATTTATTCAAAGGTGTCAGCTCAAATGAGTGCATGGCTGCTATGCACTCTTCACAGGTAGTTGCAGTTCAACCTTTCGAACAATGAAGCCCAGCTGTGGTGCAGTATGGCACCACGGAACCGACAAAAGCAGAAAAGCTTTCAGGCTAGTCAATGCGATGCGTATTGTCGTGGTCATCGGGCTGCAGGACTGGGGCCTTGCGCATGTCAGTGAGATTGCTTCTTGCATCTACCATGGCTGCAAGAGTCGTTGCATTCAATACGGAGAACATCTTGGGAGCAGTGTCCAGAACTTGAAGACGTGACTTCCGTCTGAACTAATAGACGCTTGTATGCAGTCATAAACTGCGAAGCTGTTGGGTTGTTGTTATGGCCGCCTCATCCACGTATTGATTCAAAGAAGTTTTCGACATAGTCTTGACTGAGTTTGTGTGTTAGTAAGTATTTCAGCTGACCCTGGCTGACAAGTCTGTCAAGCATTCTTTCCGTGCTTGCCATGCGTATCCAAAAACCAATGAATCCGTTCTTTTCTGTCATTCCTTCTGTCACTGCCGGATCTCGCAGCCCGTTTATGTACGCTCGAGTCTCCGCAAAAAACGACTTCCAGAATGCTTCGTTCCCCTGCCGAAAGGGCGCTTTGTACGACCTTGCCAGCGGGTTCCTGGAGTTTAAGATGTCAAACAAGCGATCAAAAGTTCTAATAAACGTAGATCTTGCGCTACCACCCTTGAATTGCGGCAGCTTTAGCTTTTGTTCACAGAAGTCCAAAGCGTCGGCAACTGAGGCACTCGATCAGTTGTACAGCATATCATACCTTCATTTTCTTGCTTTTCCCATTGGACGTGGACTTTCGGAAGTTCGTTTCTAAGCCACAACCCTTCTTCACGTTGAAGTGCCTTCAATGCCACTTCATAACCCCATTTCACATGCTTCCCTTCAATGTCAAAGAGAAAGCACTCTGGCGCGAAGTGTCCAGAACGAAGTGATCTGTCTTTCGCATTCTACTTCTCACGGCGAACGGCCCACTTCCAGAGGTTCCGCGTTACGGGATCTTTAGGAAACCTGTAAAACAAGTCCGGACTGTTATGTTTTGCACGCTTAGATCGCGGCAGCTATAGCTCCCTTTAGTAACAAGCGCGGAATGGCTATGTCGAAGACGTTTTCGTGTACGCACAGGTGGAATGTGAGGCCACAACCTTTTTTCAACCTGTTGGCACATCCATAAACGACGCCAGAGGCAACCATTGTAAGCCATTTGTCTTTACATGCTGACAAGGTGAAACAAGAACGGACGAAATCAGCAGCTCGCGATGGCGTTGAGCACGCTTTTTGCCACTGGCAAGATGGCGGCGGCTGGCTTCACTCGCACAGCGCCCCTTCCACTCCAGCAAGTTTTATGTATCCTCCTTGGGTGCCAGCCAACATTCTAGACTAGGCAAGTTGGAAAACTCCCCGCGTCAGACTACTTGGCACACGGCGCCGGGACAGCTTCCGGGTTGGTAGCACTAGCAGCGCAACAAGCTTCCGCTAGCAGACGAAAACGCGTAGTCGTCGTGGCAAGACGTCGTGGCGGCCGTTCTGAAAGAACTGTGCCAACAGTATATTATCGAGATTTGTTGTGCTGCCGCAGAAACTTAATACTGCGTAATATTTAGCGGTGTAAGGCAGAAATAGTATAATTATGGCTTTCTGAACAGCCCACAATAAACAATGCATGATATATTTAGCATAACATACACGAGTCTTTCGGTTAGTTGCTAGTTGGTGTACGTTCGCAATAAATTTTTAGACGCGAAAAACCCAATTACAATGTCTTAGCATCGTCTCTTGTGGCTGTGTTTTTCGTGCTTGAAAAAAATCACAACTATGTGGCACAATCTCGTGGCTTTTGTCAGGTTATGTAAACAGCTTTTTTTTTTTTCAGGTCAGTCACATTCTTTAGCAACTTAGACCATCGAAAACCTATGCGTGCTGCCGTTTCTTGGGCATGTCTTCCCTCTGCTTCGTCTGGAGTTCCTCTAATGAAACCTGTTAACACAGCTGTAGCCAAAGATTCGAGCAGAGACCGCACATTGGGGTATCAATGAGCACTTCGTTGTCATTACTCACGAGTCTGCCTGCTGACCCATTGGGACAACATGAACACAGTTGCAGCTTTTCTATGTCCACCAGAATTTCGGCCCATTGGGTGATGGTAGCGGCATTGCCAGGCGACTTGGCTAAGAGATGGTGATCGGTGCTAATGGTGACTGTCATGTCTTCTGCGACGACAACGAATTTATCCACAAATAGCCCTCTTTTTTTTTCTTTGAGCCCTAGAAACACCACAAGACAAGATGTCTTGTGGTGTTTCTCGCTATTCTCAACAACTTTCCGCCAGCATGCAAACAAGCGTTTTATATGTCTCGAAGCGAAATGACGCCACTAGTTGACGGCATGTCGGGATTTATTTCGCTGTCTTCGAGCTCAGTGCTCGGAGATAGTCTATTTTTTTTCCGCAGATTATATTCTGGAAACTACCCCACTCCTATCGGGAAGCCTTCGCTTCTTTGTCGCGGGCCCCGCGACAAATGTAAGCGGGCAAATTCGGGAATATTCGTGGAACGCATCCTTCGACGAGGTCCCACTTTCCTCTTGCGATTTGTACCTTCTTACCATATGACGTGAGTGAAAGTCTTCAGGATGTCCTTCTCATGAAAGTGCATATCACACACACGTGAGGTGCTGGACAGTTTCTTATCCGCACGAGGAATAGCGTGGTGCCATACCTCTCGCTGCTCAGGTACATGTGGGCACAAAAGAAATGTCTTGGTGTCTCTAATTTCCTGTAACTACTCTACAGCCGAGAATGCAACATCTGGGCATGATGAAAACATGCAACACATACAAAGCAGAACAGGGCGCGCTGAAGCACAAAACTGTTCACGCAGAAAGAAGCCTCCACAGATATCGACGCACTGCAACATGCACAGGCGATGGAGGTTACGGGAGTGACACATTCTCTATGAGTGACACGAGCGAGCTAGGTGTTCTGTGAGCAAGCATGCAGTGAGTGAATCTGGATGCGACAGCAACGCCACATTTGTCGCTGGCAGCGGCGGCACCGCGCAACATTGCTCAGTTTTGCAACTTACCTAGTCTATAAACGTTGGTACCAGCCAAGGAGGATAGTTTTATGTATCCTCCTTGGTACCAGCTAAGCGTTCTTCATCTGCGGCCCATAGGGGCGCGGCTGTCGAGAGTTATTTGAGACCTGCAACTGTGCACTACTGTTTCGCAGGCTATGCAAAGTGTCGCGTTGTTGCACCGTCCGCCACAGGTGACGCTAGCGACCGAGAACATTCTAAAATAAAGGAGAGAAAGGGTGTAGCAGTCGTTTTTCTTCTCATGCGGCAGGCATGTTCTAGAGAAGGCGTTGGCAGTGTTTGGTCCACACGGCGCGCGGTGCGCCACAGTCAATGCGAAACCACATCATCATCACCATCAGAACACCGGTGAAAACACGTGAGGTGCAACTCGTGCGAGTGCAGTGGGGACGTCTAAAACAACAGTCGCTGGCTTTCAGCGGTTTTCATCGGCAGATTTTAGCGATGGTTCTCCGAGGAGTGTGCCTACCACGTGCGCTACTTGCTGCAACGGCCGGCCGTCTGACAGGCGTTGGTGGTGGCGGCTACCGGCAGCGGCGACTGCTGCTGTGCAGCGCATTGAATCGCAGCAGCACGACGGGTGCTCGGTTGCGAGAGTGGCGTCCTGTGCTTCAGCGGGCTTACTCAACGCAGCCAGAGTCCAAGGAGCATTCGATAATCAAGGCAAGAGGTCGACGATGCTGCATCTTTGGACAGTCTTAATTATATTTTCGCTGGTTGTGACAAGAATATGGATTGCGCATGTGCCCTCCGCCTGCCAATGGTCAAGTTAAAGCAGAGTCACGTTGATGACCACCTGAAACTGTTGATAAATCGGAAGATTTCGCAAAGAGCCTGTCGATAAGCAGCTGCATTGTAGTGCTGTAAAACTCAATGGATAAATAGGGTGTTCTGTTCTAATTTGACTAGGAATCGTTGCGATGTCCACACTGAAGGGTCCCTGTAATGGTGTTTTTTTTTTCTTTAGGAATTAATGGCCAAATACTATTAAAGAGAATAAATTTATGCAAAGAAACTGTGATAACACGACTGAGTGCTTGAAGGATAACTATTTATTAAGTATATGTGGTTACATTAACATTGTGAAGTTACAAAGCGATTTGTGGCCTTCTGGCCAGCCATGGGTGATGCCGCTGTCGATGGCGCTCTCCCCGACTGAGTGAGTCTGGTGATGTCTCCCTTTACATCTTCCCTTATCACAGGTTCACTTTGACTAGAGGTTTTACAAGGTGGCCACAGTAAGCTGCCGTGTGGCTACTAGGGGTCAGCGATGCCGCACTGTTTTGCGAAGACTCAGCTGCTGCTTGGGTTTCAGACGCCACGTGCACCTCCTTAGGCTAATCTGGTGATGGTGGCTGGAAACACCTTGTCAGAGCTGTCATTGGTGCTCTTGTAGGCCTTACCATGGATGTGTTTCGTCTCAGCAACCCATGTGGTGCCTGCAGTATGAAGGACCTTGGGGCTCCATGCGTGTTCACCACTGTAGCGGGAGTCCATCTTCGAGGTTCTTCCCAAACACGAACACTGTCACCAGTATGTATTGGTGGAGCTTTTGAAGTGTGCTTGTCTGCATACTCTTTTTGCCTCATTCGTTCTTGTGAAATTTTTTTCAGACATCTTTGATATTTTTTGGCTTTAATATTAAAGACAGTTTTGGTGGGTAATGTGGTTCTTGTACGCTTCCATAGCGACGTTGCACTGGTGAGCCTAGTTTTCCATTTGGTGGTACATTTCTTATGTTTAACAGTGCCATGTGTATATCACTGCCGTCTGTGCATTGTTTCAGCAGGTTTATTGTTTTCACTGCCCTTTCAGCCAGGCCATTGGTTCTTGGATATTGCGGGCTGCACATTTCTAACTGGAAGTTCCACTCTTTCCAAAAGATGTTGAATTCACTAGCCGTGAAGGAAGTTCCATTGCTTGATTCAACCACTTTGGGTATTCCATGTGCCGCAAATCATGCTTTCATTGCTTAGATCACTTCTCTTGCAGAACAGTGTTTCAGCTTCGAATACTCCATGTAGCCAGAGTAACTGTCTACGATCAGTAAATGTGGTCTTCCTTTGTAGTCAAATATGCCTACTGCCACTGCGCTCCCATGGCGATTCCGGCACTTCTTTCGGCATCAGTGGCTCCTTTGGAGGACACTGTTGGATTGTTTGGCACACTGTTCACATCTGTACAATGTTGCGCACGTCGTTTGACATGCCCGGCCAATAAACAGTCTCTCTTGCCAATTTAAGGCAGCTGTTGATGTCCAGGCATCCAGCGTGGATAGACTTCATAACTCTATCTTTCCAAATGTTTGATATTACTGTTCGAGTGCAGTGAAACAACGGGCCTTCATACACAGATAGTTCATCACGCAAATGTGTGAACAACTTCTGTGCACTTGTCATTTTTCTTGCATCGGGTCATTCGTGAGTTGTCTTGCGCCACTGCTGTCTGCAGTTCTGCCATAGTTTCTTCTGACATTGGCAGTATGGCAAGAACTTCCAATTCTTCAGGAATGGTGCCTGCATCCATGCTTGTGTTGTGGTCACGACTAAGCAGGTCTGCAATGTGTAGGGTCCTTCCCTTTTTGTGGACAATTGTGGGACCATAGTGTTGGATGTCAAAGAGAAGTCTCTGCAGTCTGGGTAGTGCAAGTCCGTGGGTTTCTTGCTGATTGTCTCCAGTGGACGGTGATCTGTTTCTATTCGCATGGGTCTTCCATAAATGTATGGGTGGAACTTCTTGAAGTCGTACCTGATTGCCAATGCTTCTTTTTCTATTTGCAGATAGTTCCTTTTCACAGTGTTTAACATTGCTGATGCATACTGCAATTGGCTTTCCCTCTTGCATTAGCATTGCATCCAACGCTTTTGATTTGGCATCAACTGAGAGTCAGCTCAGCATTTACATTATGGTACTTCAGTGTGGGCACTTTTTTGAGGTCTTTTTCGACAGCCTCTAGTGTGTTGCTCTGTTCTTCAGTCCAGAACCATGCTGTGTCCTTCTTGAGGAGCTTTCTCAGAGGAGTTGCTTTTTCTACCAGATTGGGTAAGATCTTCTGTAGATATTGTAGCATTGTGAGAAGTCTTTGTAGTTCTGCTCTGTTGGTTGCTTCTTTGATTTTGTCAATTGCTGTGCCCTTGTCTGTGTCTATTTCTAAATATTTGTCTGTGAGTACATGGCTTAAAAACTTGACCGTCGTCTGGTTGTAGACACATGTTTGTTCATTTAGTTTTGCACCAGTCTGACGCAGCCTTTCCAACACTGCTTTGGTGTATTTTTCTAGCTCTTCAGCTGTCTTGGTGTAGACTAGAATGTCATCCATTGAGTTGGCGACGTTAGGGAGGCTTGTTAAGACTTCTGTAGTGACCTCTTGAATACTTCTGGTGCTGTCGATATTCCAAAAAGAACTTGTAGAAATGTGTATCTGCCCCAGGGGGTGCTGAACGCTAAGTGTCTTTGTGTCTTCTTGGACACTGGCAGCTGCCAAAATGCTTTTTTTCAAGTTGAGTAGTGTGAATACTTTGCATCCACTCACTTGTGTGGCGATTTCTTCCAGTGTCTTGAGTGGGAAGTGCCGTCGAAGAAGTATTTTGTTCAGGTCTGTTGGGCCAAGGCAGATCCTTAGCTTGCGTTTTTGCTTGATGACTACCATTTGGCTGCATATGAGGGTTGGCTCATTGACTCTTTTGATGATTCCAGTCTTTTCCATGCTGTCAAGTTCTGTCTTTACATCATCCATAAGGGCATATGGTACCTTTCTCAGAGGCCTGAGCTCACATTTGCTTGCATCCTCTCTCAAGTCTGCGTCGTACACAAAAACCTTTTATGCATCCGAGTCTCATGCAGAGGTCTCTTCCATGTGCACGTGCACACGCTTCACAAGGTTCAACACATCACATGCATGTCTGCCTAATATGGGCGTTAGCTCTCCGCCTACAACAACAAATTTTATCTTGACTGGCTTGTTCTGCATTGTGCATGGGGCTATGCTTTCTCCTGACATATCAAGCTTGTGCTGGGTGTACGACGCGATGCGTTTCACTAGTGACTAAGTCAAGTTGAGACCTAGGGATGTGGCAACATTCAGTGGCAGGATGTTGCACTGGGCCCCTGTGTTAGTTTCATGTCAGTTGACTTCCCACACGTAATAGTAATGGTCTCATGCCCATCTTCTTCAGTGCTGTTTTTGTTTTGAATCACGGAGATCAACACTTCGTCATCGGAGTTGGCACTGCTCCACACCTGTCACGTTCACCCGTCATTGTTGTTGTCTCCTTTCCATTCGGAACACTGTCACAAAATGTCTGACTGTTGCATTTCTTGCACTTCTTGCCATATGCTGGACAGCTATCTTTTGCCTGTTTGGTCCAGCAGTATCCACACTGGAACATTGCTCTTGTTGGCGTGTCAATTGGCTTGTCTTCATCGTTGCTCCTCCCTTTGGCTGCGCTCTGTCGCAATGCGTGGACTTTTTGGGTGCCCTGTGTCGCCATGTCTTTCATTTGCTCAGCTGCTTGCTCGTTGGCTCAGCACAGGTAAATCACTTTTTCAAAGTTGATAGTTGGGTCAGTAAGGAATTTTCTTACGAAGTTATTTCTAACACCCACAATAATTCGGTCGGTTCTTCCGTCAGCGAGCCGAAGCTTGCACCTGCTTGCCTGTAGCCTTGCAGCAATCACGTAATCCGTGAAGGTTTCTACCTCCTTTCGTGGCATGAGATTGAACTTGTAGCATTCGTAGGCATGATTTATGGGCGGCGTGAAGTGCTCAGGGAACCTCTTCTTGATAACTCTCACATCTTTCTTCTCACTCTCCGTAAGGTTGAACATACGAAAAATTTCTTGAGCTTCGGTTCCGATAGCAGACATGAATGTTGCTACTTACACTTTGGGCGCCTTGGTCTAAAGCTGGACGGCAGTCTCATATCGTCCGTATGTCTGCAACCAGCCTTCCCACGTAGTAAGGTTGCTCGAATTCGTATCCAACTGATTTTGGTGGCTGCAGACCATTCTCGCCGCTCATTGTTGACTTCGACCGCCTCTATCACTTAGACACCGTGTGATAATAAAACTGAGTGCTTGAAGGAAAACTATATATTAAGTAGACGTGATTACATTAACATTGTGAAGTTGCAAAGAAATTCTCGGCTTTCTGGCCAACCAGGGTTGATGCAGCTGTCGATGGCATTCTCCCCGACAGAGTGGGTCTGGTAATGTCTGCCTTTACAAAAACTTTCATCGTTCGACATACGCGCATTCTCCTAACATGTCCATTTTCTTCTCAACTTCTTTGGTTTCGCATTTCCCGATCTTCACCTGGCTCTCACTGTTTTGCTTGATTAGCGTTTCTGTACCCTGTGGTGCAATTTTATACTAGTTCTAAATCCGGATGGAGCCGTTTCGTTCGTTACGTCAAAAAGTGGGTGGTCCGCATCGGTCGCGAGGACGAGGGAAAACGAATAGCCAATGTGGGAAATACAGGCCTGCATCACAATTTTAATGTCGGCTTGAGCACGAATTGAGCGCAATTGAAACGTGACCCGTCTTGTGTCTCTGCGGGTCGGCACCATGTCTTCGACCTGCGAAGGACATGCCCAGTGTCCGGAATGGATGCAGTGTCTCTGCAAGGAATGCAGCACACGTGTAACACCGGGGAAGTGAATGATC